TATGGGTTTACGCCTCCAACAGGCTTTGTACTACACTATGTAGGAAGCTAGAGACTCATTATTATTCACATGCTCAGCTTTTCGCTAATGCTAGCTGTTTAAAGAAGACTAGGCAGAACAACAGAAGAGAACCCCCACCGGAGGTTGTTTTTTGTTTGTGTTGTGCATTATCAGTGATCTGTAGATCTTTAAATCCTCTGCATCTCTCTCTTTCATCTCAGACGCCATACCTCCATCCGCTGTGAGTCATTAGCTCAGTAACTGACAGTGAGAGACGGAGATAAATAGCTGAACTGGCCTTTGTTAGAGTTCCTGGCATAGCGTGGGGCATCAAAGCCACTCGCGATAGGAAACCTTTATTGCATCCATTGTTGAGCTTTGTGAGAAAGTATAGATGGTGAAAATATCATACTCCAGCAATATTTCAAAGCCAATGATGTGATCCAGTCGATGAGAGCTCTTCTGATCTTATTGAAATAAGTATTTCTATCAGTTGCCAAGCAAATTGGTTTCTTTGGGAGGAAAGATTACACAGGTGCACCTTGTGCTGGGGACAATAAAAGGCCACTCTAAAATGTGCAGTTTTGTCACACAACTCAATGCCATAGATGTCTCAAGATTTGAAGGAGCGTGTCATTGGCATGCTGACTGCAGGAATGTCCACCAGAGCTGTTACCAGATGTCTGAATTCTGAAAAAGAGTTTTAAAGAGTGTGCAAAAATTATTGCGAGAAAGTCGAGGGAATCTGTTAACAATTAAGAAAATTAATACCTATAATAGATTTAAGTATAAGGCCCTCGGGGGTTTGTGGTATATGGCCAATATACCACGGCTAAGGGCTGTTCTTATGTACGACGCAACACGGAGAGCCTGGTTAGAGCTCTTAGCCTCGGTTTATTGGCCATATACCACAAACCCCCGAGGTGCCTTATTGCAATTATAACTTTTTTAATTTTATTTTGTTTTATTATAAACTGGTTACCAACGTAATTAGAGCAGTAAAAATACATGTTTTGGATGCCAGGGGAAGCCAGGCTTCCCCAAACATGTTCAGTCTATTTGCAAGTGGCTGAATCTCACTGGAGAAGTCATCCGAGCGAGGGAAACAGCGCTCCTCTATCTCAGTATGTGTAGCCCATGTATCTGATGCTGTCTGGAACAAAAGAGTGTAACGTGTTGCCGCCGTAGCATTTGATTGATTGATGCCAGAAAGCATTTGGTCTCCCTTGATACAAAAATTATGAAAGAATTAGCCAATCAGCGTTGCGCTGAGCTCAACTGTGGGTTGTCCTGGCGCAGCAAAACGCCCCCCAAGGAAGGCCAGTTTGGATTTGGCTTCACAAGAATCAAATCACATCCTGAGCAAAACGTCATCATTGTCAGAAAAACGTGTCAGTTTCTGGTCAGCTTGTGTTGATGTCCTGCAGTAGCTAGCTTGCTAAATTGGCCCTTTCCTAAGCCATGGACGGATATGGGGATTTGAATTGGTGGTTTTGACTTAATTCTCTGTACAGGCCAATGATTATTATGCCGATTTTGATCGAACCATACATTAATGTACTGTGCCTCTGGCCTGAGATGATTGAAGTTCAATATGTAGCCTAGATGTAGCTTAGTAGGCTCACGTTAACTAGCTAGCTAACTTAGCTGGTTCATTGTTGCCCATGCGAGGAAGTCAGGCTAGCAAGCATTTTAGCTAGGTAGTCTATGACAACAAAAACTAAAAGTGTACCGTATGACAGAGCCATAGAACATTTTGCCAACATGAAAGAGAAGAGAATGGCGTTCAACTAGTCAACAAGTAGATGTTTTTATTGCGCGCGTACGCACACACACACACACACACACACACACACACACACACACATACACACACACACACACACACACACACACACACACACACACACACACACACACACACACACACACACACACACACACACACACACAGAAATCAGTACCATGGACAGCCACATGATATCTAGGAACATTGATTGGACTAAATTGTTTTTGGTATCTTTAAGTTTGTTTTCACTGTATTAAACTAAACATATAGATATATAGCCCTGTTGATTTGATGATGTTTCAGTTGAAACAGTGCTGGAGTAGTGGAGGCAGTGCTCCTGTTGTCTTTGTGCTGACTTGCGGTAACTCTGTGGTTCTAAAGCAGTAGTGGTTTAGTCAACTGTTTCATGTAACTGTTTGTTAACGCAGTATTTGCTTTGTGGATTTCACTGGACTTCACTGGACAGATGTTGCTCTCTAGTTTTGTGATGAAACAAATGTAGTTGAATTTATTCCGCCACTGTGTGACTGTTCTCTTTGTGTTGTCAGGGCCTTAGCGTATATCACGGTGGCGTATGAACTAACGGGTTATAGAGCAAACAACACAATTATCACAACATAGGTTGTATTATGGCTTTTTTACTGGCTTGGCTTGGCTTCCTCAGTGATATTACCCGCTGTCACGAATTCAGCCGAGGCTGCCCCTCCTCCTGGCTCGGGCAGGTTTCGGCGTTCGTCGTCACCGGCTTACTAGCCACTACCGCTCCATTTATCATCACTCCATTTGTCTTGTCTTGTCTTGTCTTGTCAATCACACACACCTGGTACTCATTCCCTCATTAGTCTGTGTATAAGTGTTCCCTCTGCCCCCTTGTCCTTTTGTGAGTGATTGTTCGTTGTGAGAGTGAGTAGCTCGGTTGAGCTACGCTTTACTTGTATGCAGCCAAGGTTGATTTTCCCTTGTGCTAGTTTCGTTCTGTCGCTATATGCGCTACATTATTGTACACTGAATAAACTCTTGATTTCGGTGTTTTACCTCCTGCGCCTGACTCCGTCATTCACACCTCATCACACCCACGCACCACTACTGCCCATTAGCTGTTGCCAAGGCATCAGCTACTCTTCCTGGGGGCCAAACAGGTTGTTACTGCTCTATTCCTGTAAGTGGATACATTTTGCTCACGTGTCCCGTTTTCACACTATTGTGAAACCTACCCTAATGGCTCTGATCATTTCTTTTTACGATGCCACTTCTTTCCAGCAAGGTTCCAGTGGTGGATAACTAACTACGTCAGCACAGTAGAGTTTGGCTCGGCTTCAACAGCAGTAGAGCTTGGCTCGGCTTCAACAACAGGAACTGCTGTTGTATGATGAATACCAAACACTCAAAGATTTCCCTTTAGACTGTCTCGATAGACTTCCAGCTCATTGTGTTCTTTCTGTGGATTGTCAGCCATTATTTTTGATGCCTCTCCTGAGAGACTCTCCATAAACTCTTGTCCTTCACCGCAGCCCGGCCTCCCCTCGGCAGCCCTCTTGTAAAACAGACACATTATATTATTAGTCTTACTCATGTTTCCTCCTAATCGCTCAGTGTGTGTGTGATCTCCTGCATCCTTCTCTCCTCTCTGCTAATCAGTCAGTCACTGTGTGTGTGTGTGTGTTTAAAAACTATACATTGGCAGATATAGGCCTACATGTTGTGCAATCGCACAATAAAAGACCATGATTACAAAAATTCTCAGTGGTCAACAACCTGGTGAGTAATGTATTGAAACACAAAACAGTGTAAAGATGAGTAATCAGGGACTTTACAACCGCACAATCAAGGACATTTTAAAGGGTTTGTTCGAGCACATTTGGCCCTTGTCACACTGGTGCGCTGAGGAGTTTACTTCAGTTGTCGATGAATGCTACACATGGGTGACATCGCTGTTTGTTTACTCAGCCTTGATTTTAATTACCTTACATTCCATTTAGATATGCAAATGGTACTAGGACCTTTTTAAAATATTAATTAGAAATCAAAATCTTACCTCACTGAAAAGGGTTCAGTCTATCGAATTTGGAAATCCAAATACTTCCAAATTAAACGACTGCATTAAAAAAATAAAAAAATACAAATACAAATAATTTAGCCCATAACCGAATTTGAGAACAAGGGGTATGTAATTTGGTAGTGCTTTCAAGTAAATTGCTTCTGTTTCTACCCACTTTCTCTTTCCCTTAAGTTAGCATTACAACAGAGGGAACAGATGGGATGAATAACCAGACAACCCTTCTTAATCCCAGGGGGAAATGTCTTACGAATGTAGATTAAGCGACGACTAGCGACTTCTGCAAGCGCTATCTAAGATGCAAGTCATACCCAAACAGTACCACTGTAGTCTAGAGACAACAGTCCTTTTGGGAGTTGGGGTCTAATTTCCCCCTTGGTCTTTGAGCCTTCAATCAACTGCCTCTTTGCTCTGTGAGATAACTCTCTGATAAAGGCCATTGATACCTAGCCTGTGTTTGATGCTATGCATGTCTCTCTGCCTCCCTCTCTCATCCATCACAGTAAGTGTGAATGGCAGCCAGACAGAGGGGGGGAGGCTACTACTCTCGCTCTCCTCACTATACCCTTGGTAATCTGTGACGAGGCCGGCTTCCTTCCCCGTTGGAGAATGGAGGCACTGTGAGACACTGTGAGACACTGTGAGACACTGTGAGACACTGTGAGACACTGTGTTCTGCAGCTCCAGATGGGTAGTACTAACACAGCATTTGCAGCACCTCGCTCTCCTTCCCTCAGCAGATGAATTACATAGGCTTCAGTAGGGTGTGTGTTAGTATCAATCCAATAATCCACTGTAATAACATGGTGGTTATATACATTTGGAATAGATGCAGATTTGATGCTTGTATAAAGCAGATAAAATCCTCTCTATCCACTAATAAATTGCAGCATTTTCTGTAAAAAGGGGAAAAAGGATGCATTTTTCCAAATATTTCCAATTCATTGTTTCCCAAAATTCATGAAAGTAAGTAAACCAAGGCAATATGATTCATTGGAGTGATAAAAACATCAAATTTAATGACACTTATATACAATTAAAGCCATGAACGGCAAACACCAACACAAACGGACCCGCGGACAAAAGATATAGGCTATGGGGCTGACATTGTATCTGATTGGGTTAATACAAAAAGAAACATCACATTGCCCATTATTAACTACATAGTTTGGTTGCCTCGTACTCCACAGAGTTTGGTTGTCTGGCACTGAAAGCCTGTAGAGAAGCCAGTATTCTGGTCACTTCTGAACTGGACAGTTTCAGTCTTTGACGGAGCAGACAGGAGAACAGGTCCATGGGCTGAGACCCTGGAGGGGAGAGGCGGTTGACCCTGTAGCGGACCTCTACCAGCTGCAGCAGGGCTGAGTCCTGGGATCCCTGGGTGTATGGGTAGTCCAGCTGCAGGATTAGGTCCTGGATTGCGTCTGGGTCAAAGTGCATGCTGTATCCAAACAGCTGCATGCTGTTAATCTTCATGTAGCCCATGTTCTGGGATGAATACGCCTCCACGGGTTCCACGGCGCCCTCTGGTGGTTCAAAGTACACTCTACTAGCGTTTCTGTGTCCCCCAACCTCCGACCCTGGCCCCAAATCCCTAATGCGGCTCCTCAGGTAGAAATGGACTGTCTCGAAAAAGCTCTTCCACCGGTTGCCCAGCGTCAAGGTCCAGTTGTAGCAGTCCAGGGGGATATCCAGCTTGGTCCTCTCCCAGTCGGGGTAGCCGTGCTGGCCGATGGGCATGGTCCAGCTCTCCGAGTGGCTGCCTCCGAACGGGTTGACGAACACGGACAGCACAGGCTCCATCGTGCTGTTCTTGGTCAGGCACACCTGGAGCGCCACCCCCAGGAGCATGTGCACGCGGTTGGACTTGTAGCGGTTGCTCTTCAGCGTCAGCAGCATCCTCTTCCGCCACGACGGGTCGAACCAGGCGTTGAGGCGCACGTCGCTGCTGACAAAGACGGCGTGCAGGGCGATGCGCGGGTCTTGGCGCTGGAGTAGGTAGCGCAGCTCCAGGTCCTGAAGGTCGCGGTCGCTCTCCAAACCCAGGTAGGGGTCCGTGGGGTCTGGCACGGCGGGCCGGCAGAGCCCCTGGCCCAGAAAGAAGCCCTGGTTGCAGCTGGAGCAGCGGGTGCGGTTCTCGGCGGAGCAAGAGGCGCAGCGGGGGCCGTCTCCCACGGAGCAGGGGACGGGGCCCTGGCAGGGAGGGTGGTGGTAGGGGCAGGAGCAGCTCCTGGTCTCCTCAGAGTACACGCCGATGTGGTCGTTCTCACTGCAGTACAGGAGGGACAGGATGTAGCTCAGCCAGTAGCGGAGGGGTCTGAGGACGGAGGACGGAACATACTGTAGGTGAACGTACATTTTTCATTTGTTTTTCTGTCTATGAAAATATGTGAAAAACATCTCATCAGACACAATAGGATTCATACTGCACATTCACAGCAACAATATCGGTCAATTAAGTAGGATAGGCAGAGCAGAAGCCCCATCTCCGCTCTTGTAGGCTCAGCTGCTGGAATGCAAGGCAAATCAGACCAAAATGAACATTTTAGTCTAGTTGTGAATTCCCCCTGAGTAGGCAGGTGGGTGCTGACTGAGAGAGCCAACCACACACACACACACAAACACACACACACACACACACACACACACACACACACACACACACACACACACACACAGACTTTTTGTTCAATGTATGAATATGACATACTAACCACCCAGTACAATTAGAGAGCAAATAAACTATGCAAAAAAACATTTCATAGGATCACATGCAGAAAGAATTGACCAGTCTAATAATTAACCTCCATCAAATCCCCCTTTATGACCAGAAGGGTGTGATAAAGCAGTGTAATTGGATTGAGGTTTGAGGAAGCAGAGTGCTTGGCAGCAGTACTGAAGGATTGTGTAATGTAGTTAATTTCCTCCAAAGAATGGCCATCAATACAGAGATGTCATGCGAGAGGAATGCAGCACAGTGAAGTTATGTTAAAAGGAAAGCCGCTCTGGAAGACTGAAGTAACTAATAACAGGTACACCAGGTAACATTACGTAGGGCTTAGCCGGGAGCTAGAGGACTTGTAGGGTCAGGTCAGGTCTCGGGGGTTCGGGTGGACCAGGTAACATTACTTAGGGCTTAACCGGAAGCTAGAGGACTTCTAGGGTCAGGTCAGGTCTCGGGGGTTCGGGTGGACCAGGTAACATTACTTAGGGCTTAACCGGAAGCTAGAGGACTTCTAGGGTCAGGTCAGGTCTCGGGGGTTCGGGTGGACCAGGTAACATTACTTAGGGCTTAACCGGAAGCTAGAGGACTTCTAGGGTCAGGTCAGGTCTCGGGGGTTTCGGGTGGACCAGGTAACATTACTTAGGGCTTAACCGGAAGCTAGAGGACTTCTAGGGTCAGGTCAGGTCTCGGGGGTTCGGGTGGACCAGGTAACATTACTTAGGGCTTAACCGGGAGCTAGAGGACTTCTAGGGTCAGGTCAGGTCTCGGGGGTTCGGGTGGGACCAGGTAACATTACTTAGGGCTTAACCGGAAGCTAGAGGACTTCTAGGGGTCAGGTCAGGTCTCGGGGGTTCGGGTGGACCAGGTAACATTACTTAGGGCTTAACCGGAAGCTAGAGGACTTCTAGGGTCAGGTCAGGTCTCGGGGGTTCGGGTGGACCAGGTAACATTACTTAGGGCTTAACCGGAAGCTAGAGGACTTCTAGGGTCAGGTCAGGTCTCGGGGGTTCGGGTGGACCAGGTAACATTACTTAGGGCTTAACCGGGAGCTAGAGGACTTCTAGGGTCAGGTCAGGTCTCGGGGGTTCGGGTGGACCAGGTAACATTACTTAGGGCTTAACCGGAAGCTAGAGGACTTCTAGGGTCAGGTCAGGTCTCGGGGGTTCGGGTGGACCAGGTAACATTACTTAGGGCTTAACCGGAAGCTAGAGGACTTCTAGGGTCAGGTCAGGTCTCGGGGGTTCGGGTGGACCAGGTAACATTACTTAGGGCTTAACCGGAAGCTAGAGGACTTCTAGGGTCAGGTCAGGTCTCGGGGGTTCGGGTGGACCAGGTAACATTACGTAGGGCTTAACCGGGAGCTAGAGGACTTCTAGGGTCAGGTCAGGTCTCGGGGGTTCGGGTGGACCAAGAGCCACATTAGTCACAGTGCATGAACCATTTATAGTCTACTTAGAAATAGTATACAGATACAGTACAAATGATAGCCTGGTCCCAGATCTGTTTGTACTATCTTGCCAGCCTGGTAAAACAGCACAAACGGATCTGGGTCCAGGCTATGCAAATTATAATTTGAATGTTCTTCAGACTGTAGTTTTGACTGTTAATGAAAGAGAGAGAGTAAAAGCGGTTACCATTATCATAAGATAAAGAGCAGCTAAACATTTGAATGCCAAAAAGTTTGTTCTTGATACTCTTTTCTGAGTGTGGACATGTGACACTATCTGAAGACTTATTGTGGCCTAGTGAGTAGGTACCACATCTTTTCCCAGGTGAGACTCAATTTCGTCCGTCAGCACCTCTTGTCTCCTAAAACTTCTCCTCTTCTTTTGTTTTTTTTTCAAAAGTGCCTTTCTTTAACGCATAATGCATAAATACCATTTGCATAATTACAAGACAAGGACGTTTTTTAGGGGGGAAACCCTCGGGTTAATGAAAATATACAAAAAAAATACTCGATACCTCTCCCTGTGCAGCACTATTCTGGGCTGATGGCGGCATCTCTTAATGAGGCTGAAGAGCTTGTTAGCGGTGTGGCGCGCTTTGTCGAGGAGCAGGCCTCTCGTGGTCTCCAGCTGCCTGTAGCGCTGGAGCAGACCCCCATCCGTCCTCCACAAGTGCTCCACGACAGATTTGTTCACGGCGTAATGGGTTGGCAGCCTTCCAACGAAGCTTTGGAACTCCTCTAAAAAACAAAAACAAAATAAAAAAACATGAATAAGTGAAGTTTGGTTCTGGCCGGGCGCCACGTGAGCCGTTGGGTAATAATTACAACATGTGAGAGCAGTGTGTCTGTTCTCATTGTTTTTGTCTGTCCCAGAAAAGTAAACAAACTACAGCACAACAACATGTTCAGAGCTACTGTTTCAGATTGCTCGTATTGTTAATTTCTTCTTAACTTGATGGATTGCAGAACTGTTGTTATTTTATTTAATATTTTTACCTTTATTTAACTAGGCAAGTCAGTTAAGAACAAATTCTTATTTATAATGACGGCCTACACCGGCCAAACCCGGACGACGCTGGGCCAATTGTGCACCACCCTATGGGACTCCCAATCACGGCCGGTTGTGATACAGCCTGGAATCGAACCAGGGGGTCTGTAGTGACGCCTCAAGCACTGAGATGCAGTGCCTTAGACCGCTGCGCCACTCGGGAGTCCATTTCAAGAGGTTTCATATTTTATTAACCACCTGTCTGTAGTGTGCACCATTGAATGGTTTAGTCACTAATTGGTCATTTATCAGATGGTGAGAGATGATGGTTGAAGTGGGTGCAAAAATACACTTCCAGCTGTCTATGCTATCGCAATAAGGTAATGTATATTGCCATGGTAACCTTTTACATCAAGATTTCTGGCAAAACAGGTAGCCTAGCGGTTAAGAGTGTTGGGCTAGTAACCAAAAGGATAGCTGGTTTGAAATCCCGAGCTGGCAAGTTGGAAAGAAATCTGCCCTTGAGCAAGGCAGTTAAATCCAGGTGCTGTGGATGTTGATTAAGGCAGGCCCATTGCACCTTTCTGATTCAGAGGGGTTGAATGTGTTTCGTTGTGCAACTGACTATGTTTCCCGTATTTCAGAAGTGTTTCCAGGAAGTGAGAAATCCCACGAGACACTTCTGTTATGCGACTTCAGTAAGGTATTTAATCTAGTATGCACCCTTCGCCACAACCATATCTCTGGACAATGGTGCTTTTTATCATTCCGACACATATGAAAGCTTATTGAATGTGAGCCTGAATACCTTTACTTCCTGCATTCCACACTACATTGTAACAAGCTGGCTAAAGCAGAAATATCCAGGCACCCAGGCTACTCAATTGTCGCTCATCACCAAGGTCATTGAACTGTTGCACATTCAACTAAACTCCAGTAAACACCTGATTCCTCAAACTCCTGGTTGGCCAGTGTCCACGCCTCTCTGAAGCGGAGCAGGTTGTTCTCCAGGGCCTGGAGGTCCGTCTGTGGACAGTTGCACTGTGGGAAGTCCGGGCTGCACTGGCACCAGCAGTCGCTGGCCCTGCACACAAACTGGCCCTCCGAGTTGCAGCCGATGTAGCTGAGGGCTGCCTGGACGAAGCGGCTCCGCAGGTACGCTGGCAGAATGACCTGGAGTCCTGTGTAGGTCAGAGAGGCGTGGGTGAGTATTTTTGGGTGTATAAGTAGGCAAGGCAAACAGGCACTGCTGCTAAATTGCTTTTGAATATCCCACTTCTGACACCAATTACAAGTAAGTCATCCAGGGGTTTGATAAAGTTCCTCGCGGGTTAGCCTCGAGAACCAATTAGATTCCAGATAGGAACTACTGTCCCCTGTCTTTGCTGCTTTGCACCAGCTGTAGTGAGTTAATGCAAATGATTACCTCTACATTGTTGGGAATAAATGTATTAGTGTTAACCATGAAAGGCACACCTGGCTCTTTGATGTTCTTTCAGAGTGATACAACTGTTGATATTTTGGCTGCAAACTATGCTCATTGATGTTTTGTCTTTAGTTCTAGTTTCGGACATACCTTGTAACTGTATCTTGTTTTCTGGACTGTGGACCAGTACTGAGCTGACAGAGTCAAGGTTATCATAGTTACTGCATCCAAGGGGGCCTGTCCTGGTTTCAGTCACCTGGGGAGGTAGGGGAACAAATGAATGTTGAAAGTGAATTCATTTCCTGAGGTGTTGTTTCATGCCTCGAACATTAGAGAAAGAACCAGGAAAATATTCTGTGGAACTTAATGAATAGTATGTGTGTTCTGGTAGGCTATCATAAAGGAAGAACATCAATCTTTGTTGAAAAAGAGTGAAAAAGATCTTGCAATGTTAAATCTCTCATACTGACCATCAATCTTTTTCTGGATACTGAATAATTGAAACAACAATGGAAATCAGTAAATTCATCTAAATGAAACGATAAGGGTTGGTTGAACTATTTTTTTTGAAATAGCATACATTTAGTTGGCGAGTTGCTGTACAATGGTGGTGGAGAGTTCATAATTAATGGACTTTCATTCCTGCCCAGTCACCAATATTTCAGGGTGATCATGCGAATCAGTGTTTCTCAATTCGGGTCACTCACAACTGATTACAGTGTCTTACTTCAACCATTCTGTAGTGTGATAAACCATGATGTAGAGCAGGGATGGGCAACTCCAGTCTTCGGGGGCCTGATTGATGTCAACACTTTTGCCCCAGCCCCAACTAACACCCCTGACTCCAATAATCAACTAATCGTGATCTTCAATTTAGACTGTAATCAGTTTAATCCGCTGTGTTTGGTAGGGATGGGGAAAAAGGTGTGACACCACTCTGGCCCCCGAGGACTGGAGTTGCCCATCCCTGACATAGATGAAGGGAATCCAGATAAATCATAATAAAACCTCTAGATTTATGCCTCAGTAACACTTCTCGCATATTTCATCCATATTCTCTACCATATGTGTTTTAACGAAGGATTATATGTAACTGGCAGTGCTTAACACCCCTCAACACCTATTCATAACCCCTTTCTTGACCAGTTGACGCTCGGCTCACTCCACAAAATGGCTGACAAACGTGGTTAGCTTGGACGGAAATTAATAGAAAGATAAGGGCCGATAAATCATCCTGATGGATAACTATAGGAAGGCCACTTCTCCTCATCAATATCAGGTATGCCTGTCACATTGAGAAATTAACTTATTTTAATATCCATTTTCAGATGACTGAATGGAGTATCGGGGGTACTGTAGTATGTGGGGCAACACTACAACACCACTAGCATGTCTCTTGATCATCACATACTAACAGCTGCTATTGGTGAGAGAGATCACCAATGGCCTAAATGCTTTTTCTGTTGATATTCTATACTGACAGAATCCTGTTCATCTGTCTGTATCGCTCTTGAACATATAATTAGAACACATGTGGGTACAGCCTGACGTAAATCACATGAACTTATTATGACTTGAAACATGTTCATTCTCAGCAGTTTTCATCTTGAGATAAAGGCACTCATATCTGATACACTATGCAACAACGCTTACATACTGAACCGGCACAGGGAGACGATAAGGGACAATAATAATATGCTACACCGTGACTATTTGACATAAATAAAATGGCAACAGTAAATGTAGCCAGCAACCTATCCACTTGCCTCCCCCAACAGAAAAATCAAAAGAAAACATAACAAACATAGCAGCAGCCCTGGTTTAACACAGTTTGACCTCCTATAGTAACTATACTGTCATCTAACTTCCCCTCCGTGTGCCCAGAGGCAGAGAGAGGGCAGTCAGGGGATCTTCTTACCCTGATGGCGGTGGAGGCGATCTGGAGGTGGTGGAGCCGGCGTAGGGTGTTCTCCCTGTCGGTGAAGTAGGAGGCAGCCAGCTGGTGAAGGGCCTCCAGGGACACCGCCCCAGCCCCCGCTCCCGCCCCAGCCCCCGTACTGTTGTGTCTGCTGCCCTCAGCTCCAGCCCCTGGTTCCGGGCCGCTGCTCAGCTTCCGCTTATCCACAAATATCGTCAAGGACTCCTCCCCTGATTACAAAGCAACAGGAAATTAGGAAAGGGGAGACTATTAACTGAGCCAGAGACGCTAATCAATGGTGATCATCTCCCATCTCTCCTTTAGAGAGGTTCTGATTATTCATTGACTGTGTTGAAGAAAGACAATGAGCAGAACGTAATGTTTAATCTGACCCCAGTTCAACAACCATCCTGAACTGACTTCCCCGTTTTACTGTATGTATACACAGTAGCTTTTCAAGCACATAAGACACAGTACAATACATAAAATCCAAACTGTCATTTCCACGTTACATATGTTACTAAAAATCTACCGCTTATGCAGAAGTATCTGTTGTAGCTAAGTTACTGAATGTAATGTATGACTCAGACACTGGGAAACTGAGTCATACATTACATTCAGTAACAGTTTTTACAATAAAACAATAAAACGTTATATGAAGTTCCCTCTAGAAAAACCCACTTCTAAGGAGTCTAAGGAGTCTAAGACAGTCTCCCTAGCGAACTATCCTGCTGTGATGCGGGTCAAGTAGGAACCAACGTTCGGAGCCTCTGTTTACTGTACCTCCCAGAGTGGCGGACAGCAGGAGGTGAGTCCCGTACTTCTTGATAATGGTCTCAGTGATCCTGCGGAGGGTGGGCCGCCGCCCCAGCTGCCTGACTGTGTGCATGAAGTCAGGGTCGAGGGGCGGAGCCAGGCGGCTGCCGCCTTCCCGCCTTTCCACCGCCAGGCTGTTGACTTTCCATCTGCCGAACTCCCTGAAAAACGACGTCACGACAACACGTTTCATTGATTAGTTGATTGAGTTCTTGGTTCGTGGAAGGAGTTTTCAGTTTGTGAAATTGACACATTAAACTAAACAGTCTGTTTAGAACATTTATTTGAATGTAATTTATTTATTTATTTATTGTATAACGTGAAAACGTACATTTAACACAGACAAACCCCAACGCAGACAGACACAACATTTACAGACAGACACAGGCAGAATCTCTCACACATAGCTAATACATCCAGACGGTAAGGAATTTCTCCCTGGAGGAGCTGTGAGCATCCTGCACAGATGTACTGCAGATATCTTCTCCTAAAGCCTTCTTGTGTTGGCACGCAACTTGAGGGAGGGCAAGGGAAAGTGTCGAATGACTTAAGGTTGGCTAGAATTTGCTCTGACAGATGTTGCCACTGGCTAATAAACAGTGGGTCACTCTGCCAACACTTACAGTTGAAGTCGGAAGTTTACATACACCTTAGCCAAATACATTTTAACTCAGTTTTTCACAATTCCTGACATTTAATCCTAGTAAAGATTCCCTGTCTTAGGTCAGTTAGGATCACCACTTTATTTTAAGAATGTGAAATGTCAGAATAATAGTAGAGAGAATTATTTATTTCAGCTTTTATTTATTTTATCACATTCCAATTGTGTCAGAAGTTTACATACACTTAATTAGTATTTGGTAGCATTGCCTTTAAATTATTTAACTTGGGTCAAACGTTTCGGGTAGCCTTCCACAAGCTTCCCACAATAAGTTGGGTGAATTTTGGCCGATTCCTCCTGACAGAGCTGGTGTAACTGAGTCAGGTTTGTAGGCCTCCTTGCTTGCACAAGCTTTTTCAGTTCTGCCCACAAATGTTCTATAGGATTGAGGTCAGGGCTTTGTGATGGCCACTCCAATACCTTGACTTTGTTGTCCTTAAGCCATTTTGCCACAACCTTGGAAGTATGCTTGGGGTCATTGTCCATTTGGAAGACCCATTTGCGACCAAGTTTAACTTCCTGACTGATGTCTTGAGATGTTGCTTCAATATATCCACATAATTTTCCTTCCTCATAATGCCATCTATTTTGTGAAGTGCACCAGTCCCTCCTGCAGCAAAGCACCCCCACAGCATGATGCTGCCACCCCCGTGTTTCACGGTTGGGATGGTGTTCTTCGGCTTGCAAGCAACCCCCTTTTTCCTCCAAACATAACGATGGTCATTATGGCCAAACAGTTCTATTTTTGTTTCATCAGACCAGAGGACATTTCTCCAAAATGTACGATCTTTGTCCCCATGTGCAGTTGCAAACAGTAGTCTGGCTTTTTTATGGCGGTTTTGGAGCAGTGGCTTCTTCCTTGCTGAGGTGCCTTTCAGGTTATGTCGATATAGAACTCGTTTTACTGTGAATATAGATACTTTTGTATCTGTTTCCTCCAGGATCTTCACAAGGTCCTTTGCTGTTGTTCTGGGATTGATTAGCACTTTTTGCACCAAAGTACGTTCATCTCTAGGAGACAGAACGCATCTCCTTCCTGAGCGGTATGACGGCTGCGTGGTCCCATGGTGTTTATACTTGCGTACTATTGTTTGTACAGATAAACGTGGTACCTTCAGGCGTTTGGAAATTGCTCCCAAGGATGAACCAGACTTGTGGAGGTCTACAATCTTTTTTCTGAGATCTTGGCTGATTTCTTTTGATTTTCCCATGTCAAGCAAAGAGGCACTGAGTTTGAAGGTAGGCCTTGAAAACATCCACAGGTACACCTCCAATTGACTCAAATTATGTCAATTAGCCTATCAGAAGCTTCTAAAGCCATGACATCATTTTCTGGAATTTTCCAAGCTGTTTAAAGGCACAGTCAACTTAGTGTATGTAAACTTCTGACCCAATGGAATTGTGATACAGTGAATTATTGTCACGACTTCCGCCGAAGTTGGTGCCTCTCCTTGTTCGGGCGGTGTTCGGAGGTCGTCGTCACCGGCTTTCTAGCTGCCACCGATCTACGTTTCTTTTTCCATTTGTTTTGTCTTTATTGTACACACCTGGTTCCCATGACATTATATTATTATATTAGGGCGGCAGGTAGCTTAGTGGTTAAGAGCGTTGTGCCAGTAACCGAAAAGTCACTGGTTCTAATCCCTGAGCCGACTAGGTGAAAAATCTGTCGATGTGCCCTTAAGCAAGGCACTTAACCCTAATTGCTCCTGTAAGTCGCTCTGGATGAGAGCGTCTGCTAAAAATGTAAAAGTATTTCCCTATTTAACCCTCTGGTTCCCACATGGTTTTGTGCGTGTTTGATCTTTGTTTTGTGTCTAAGACTTATGTGAGCTGGAGTGTTTTCCCTGCGTGGAAATTAGTGTTGTTTATTTTTCGAGTAAAGTACGTTGTTTACTCAGTTCTGTGTCCTGCGCCTGACTCCGTCCTACCGCTGCACACTGACACTTGACAATTATAAGTCAAATAATCCGTCTGTAAACAATTGTTGGAAAAATTACTTGTGTCATGCACAAAGTAGATGTCCTAACCGACTTGCCAAAACTATAGTTTGTTAACAAGACATTTGTGGAGTGGTTGAAAAACGAGTTTTAATGACTCCAACCTAAGTGTATGTAAACTTCCGACTTCAGCTGTATGTTCACAGGTCTGTGAGACTGTACGACAGGGTTCTTCAATTCCGGTCCTGGAGGGCCGAAACACCTCTGTTTTTCATCCTCTCCTTCTAATCAGGGGCTAATTCAGACCTGGGACACCAGGTGAGTGCAATTAACTACCAGGTAGAAATAAAAAACAGAAGTGTTTCGGCCCTCCAGGACCGCAATTGAAGAACCCTGCTGTACGACCTTGTCTTGCAATTGTCTTTGTTGGTGCTCTGTTGCCTTGTTTGTAGCTTCAATCTTGCTGTTGCGATGGAAGGAAACCTCAGTTGCACAATGTCTTTGCTTAGGTAACCACAGTAACATATTGCTACTGTAGCATGATAGTCCTTATGACAGAGTCCAATGCAGCACTAGGCATAATAAGTGCTATAAATTGTCAATGTGACCATGAAACTACTGACCATATTTGCCAGAGGGCCCATAAACCAGTGCAACGTCCCTATAAGTACACTCTTAGAAAAAAAGATGCTATCTAGAACCTAAAATGGTTCTTCAGCTGAATCCATAGGAGAACCCTTTGAAGAACCTTTTTTGGTTCCAGGTAGAACCCTTTTGAGTTCCATGTAGAACCCTTTACACAGAGGGTTTTACATAGAACCCAAAAGAGTTCTACCTCTAACCTAAAAGGGTTCTATTTGGAACCAAAAAGGGTTCTGCTATGGGGACAGCCGAATATCCCTTTTGGAACCCTTTTTTCTAAGAGTGTACAGGTAACCATGAATCACAGCTAATCCTGAACCAGATCTGAGTGACCGTGAATCATCCTATGACCATGAGCCATTTAGAACGCAATTAGAACCTCTGCATTGGAGCCTTTCAGGAAACCATAGAAATGCTTTAACTACGAGCACTTGAGGCATCCATAGCTGAGTGGTGCAGTGGTCTAAGGCACTGCATCGCAGTGCTAACTGTGCCACTAGAGATCCTGGTTCGTATCCAGGCTCTGTCGCAGCCGGGAGACTCATGGGCGGCGCACAATTGGCCCAGCGTCGTCCAGGGTAGGGGAGGGAATGGCCGGCAGGGATGTAGCTCAGTTGATAGAGCATGGCGTTTGCAACGCCAGGGTTGTGGGTTCGTTTCCAACGGGCGGCCAGTATAAAAAAATATGTATTCACTAACTGTAAGTCGCTCTGGATAAGAGTGTCTGCTAAATGACTAAAATGTAATGTAAATGTAACCAAATATGTTCATAATTTTATCTCACAAAGCCCTTGTGAGTCACCATTAGCCTACTGTTTGTGGCGACCATTAACCGCTTCGTACACAGTGTACTGACACATGTCACATCGAGCTCAAGTGTTGCGTACACAGTCACGTCCCATCTGGGGACCTGCAAGTGATAGCATTCTAAGACGCAATTCTCTCTCCGGTCTCTACAGTCAAGAGTCGTACCACTCCAATATTACAGACACTGCCTCCCTGTCTGTTCTCGTGGGAGGCAATCAAATCACTGCCATGAGAAACGATTGGCAGATAAATAATTGAGGAATCAGGCCAGTGTAGAGGGTGTAATTACAGCCAATCAGCCTAATGAGAGACAGGCTGCAGTGCCTCTCCGGGTGTCACCTGATGGCCTCTATAGATCACACCCCGGCGTTAGCCTGCAGGCTTATTCACCAGTGAGCACTTATGGATGGGAAGCAGGCATGCTACGCTAACTCTACACTGGTGGATAATAGTCTGACAGCTTCCTGTTCAAGACCCGGGGCCATGTGTAATCAAACACACGGAGAAACGGGGAATGCCCCCCCCCCGGGGACAATGGAGAATGGGTCGAGAGGAAAGACGGACGCCAACAGTCTGTCAGTCTAATCACTTGTAACTGTAGGGGATCCGATGTTAATCCACATGGTTACGTCGCTGTGACTTTATTCCAATCCAAACAGAGGACGTTTCAAAGTGGGGGCTTCATATAATTTGAATGGACACCCCATGCTGCTTTTGCTCCCTCCTAGAGAGAGAATTCAAATCAGTAGAAGCTGTTCAGAGAGATATATTTTACCATGAATAAATCATGTATGACTAGGGATGGGACTCCGAGAAGACTTCAGCGTTCTCCTAGCCATTAGAAATCCTCCTTTATCTGGCGTACCACAAGGGGGAGAACAAGTATTGAGTCACAGTGGACCAGCAGGACCATATTTAGGAATGTTGTTATATTGTGGCACAAGGCCAGCATCCATCCTATACTTTCAACGGTTCATTGGAAGTTTGAGCAGCATACTTCACTTTCAAAAGAACTCCCACTTCACCTTCCATTTATTCCAAACCATTTAACAACGTTTCAGGCAATACACTGTACATTTTCTAACGCAGTCTGTCTATATCCTCTATTAAACAGGGCATTAACCAGGGTGGAGAGTGAACTCCACCAATGTCACGAGCACATGACCTTTCAATTCACACCAGTTCTGAAAACAACATCAATGCGAATTGTGGTGGACATCCAGTGTACAACACATAAATCTCCGCTGTTGAAAACTAAACGTTAGTCTAAAACAAATGTGAGATAATGTCTAGATGCTTTTTATAGTGGAGATCAAGTTTTTTTAACGTCATAGATTTAGCTGAAATGCGGTTTTAACCAATCAGCATTCAGGATTAGACCGACCCGTTGTATAATTACTTACAACGTCTGTGTTGACTTCTGTGTTGACGCCACAAGCTTTCATGGATTTGCGTGTATGCTATTTAGACACTGTGCATACGTCAGTCAGTGGATACAATAGAAGGACTGAACTGAATTATAGCATATACACTACCGGTCAAAAGTTTTAGAACATCTACTCATTCAAGGGTTTTTCTTTATTTTTCCTATTTTCTACATTGTAGAATAATAGTGAAGACATCAAAACTATGAAATAACACAAATGGAATCATGTAGTAACCAAAAAAGTGTTAAACAAATCAAAATATATTTTATATTTGAGATTCTTCAAATAGCCAGCCTTTGCCTTGATGACAGCTTTGCACACTCTTGGCATTCTCTCAACCAGCTTCACCTGGAATGCTTTTCCAACAGTCTTGAAGGAGTTCCCATATGTGCTGAGCACTTGTTGGCTGCTTTTCCTTCACTCTGCGGTCCGACTCATCCCAAATCATCTCAATTTGGTTGAGGTCGGGGGATTGTGGAGGCCAGGTCATCTGATGCAGCACTCCATCACTCTCCTTCTTGGTAAAATAACCCTTACACAGCCTGGAGGTGTGTTGGGTCATTGTCCTGTTGAAAACTAAGCCCAAACCAGATGGGATGGCGTATCGCTGCAGAATACTGTGGTAGCCACGCTGGTTAAGTGTGGATGGGAAGTGTGGATACTGTGGTAGCCACGCTGGTTAAGTGTGCCATTGGTTAAGTGTGTCGATTGTTCGTGTTTCTTGGCCCAAGCAAGTCTCTTTTTCTTATTGGTGTCCTTTAGTAGTGGTTTCTTTGCAGCAATTCAACCATGAAGGCCTGATTCACACAGTCTCCTCTGAACAGTTGATGTTGAGATGTGTCTGTTACTTGAACTCTGTGAAGCATTTATTTGGGCTACAATTTCTGAGGCTGGTAACTCTAATGAACTTATCCTCTGCAGCTGAGGTAACTCTGGGTCTTCCATTCCTGTGGCGGTCCTCATGAGAGCCAGTTTTATCATAGCGCTTGATGGTTTTTGCGACTGCACTTAAATAAACTTTCAAAGTTCTTGAAATGTTCCGTATTGACTGACCTTCACGTCTTAAGGTAATGTTGGACTGTCGTTTCTCTTTGCTTATTTGAGCTGTCCTTGCCATAATATGGACTTGGTCTTTTACCAAATAGAAATTCCACAAATTAACTTTTAAGAAGGCACACCTGTTAATTGAAATGCATTCCAGGTGACTACCTCATGAAGCTGGTTGAGAGAATGCCAAGCGTGTGCAAAGCTGTCATCATGGCAAAGGGTGGCTATTTGAAGAATCTCAAATATAAAATATATTTTGATTTGTTTAACACTTTTTTGGTTCCTACATGAATCCATATGTGTTATTTCATAGTTTTGATGTCTTCACTATTATTCTACATTCTACATATTATTTTACATTGTATGAGTAGGTGTTCTAAAACTTTTGACTGGTAGTGTATACGAGTGTCCTTTAAAAAAACAGTCACAACGACAGTGCTGTATGTAAAAGCACTGCTTCAAAAGAATCATATGCCGAGAGTTGATAATGACATGCTATAGGAGTGACGTGTTGTTCAGAGAGGGAGATGTGCCACAGAATAGCCTCACTTGCTTGCGAGTAGGGTTGCAAAGGGAGGGTATATTACTGGAAACTTTCTAAGTTTACCAGTAAACTACCAGACTTTTGGTAGCTTTTAAGGTTTTTTGGAATTTTATAAGATGACATCTAGTAACCTTTTTGGGTACTTCAGATTATCACAGGTGTCTCTAATTAGTCTGGCAATTATGTGTTGCCTTATCACATCTAAAATATACACAAGAAGTAAAATAAGATGATTTGAAAATAAAGAATTAATGACAAATCTGTAAAACATTATCCTAAATATAAACCATCAAATTAGTGATTGCCATTGGTGTTTAAAATGAGGGTTTGAGCATGAAATATCCTTTATATTTTTCACAATTGTGTTTATTTTAAAGTCAACATGTCTTTGTTGTAAATGTTTCCAAACTGGTGGCAGTTGTGAAAAAAGTCAATAGATGGACGAGTTGCAGAGTTAATTGAAAATAATACCTACAGTGAGGGAAAAAAGTATTTGATCCCCTGCTGATTTTGTACGTTTGCCCACTGACAAAGAAATGATCAGTCTATAATTTTAATGGTAGGTTTATTTGAACAGTGAGAGACAGAATAACAACAAAGAAATCCAGGAAAATGCATGTCAGAAATGTTATCAATTGATTTGCATTTTCATGAGGGAAATAAGTATTTGACCCCGTGTCAATCAGAAAGATTTCTGGCTCCCAGGTGTCTTTTACACAGGTAACAAACTGAGATTAGGAGCACACTCTTAAAGGGAGTGCTCCTAATCTCAGTTTGTTACCTGTATAAAAGACACCTGTCCACAGAAGCAATCAATCAATCAGATTCCAAACTCTCCACCGTGGCCAAGACCAAAGAGCTCTCCAAGGATGTCAGGGACAAGATTGTAGACCTACACAAGGCTGGAATGGGCTACAAGACCATCGCCAAGCAGCTTGGTGAGAAGGTGACAACAGTTGGTGTGATTATTCGCAAATGGAAGAAACACAAAATAACTGTCAATCTCCCTCGGCCTGGGACTCCATGCAAGATCTCACCTCATGTAGTTGCAATGATCATGAGAACGGTGAGGAATCAGCCCAGAACTACACGGGAGGATCTTGTCAATGATCTCAAGGCAGCTGGGACCATAGTCACCAAGAAAACAATTGGTAACACACTATGCCGTGAAGGACTGAAATCCTGCAGCGCCAACAAGGTCTCCCTGCTCAACAAAGCACATAGACAGGCCCGTCTGAAGTTTGCCAATGAACATCTGAATGATTCAGAGGAGAACTGGGTGAAAGTGTTGTGGTCAGATGAGACCAAAATCGAGCTCTTTGGCATTAACTCAACTCGCCATGTTTGGAGGAGGAGGAATGCTGCCTATGACCCCAAGAACACCATCCCCACCGTCAAACATGGAGGTGGAAACATTATGCTTTGGGGGTGTTTTTCTGCTAAGGGGACAGGACAACTTCACAGCATCAAAGGGATGATGGACGGGGCCATGTACCGTCAAATCTTGGGTGAGAACCTCCTTCCCTCAGCCAGGGCATTGAAAATGGGTCGTGGATGGGTAGTCCAGCATGACAATGACCCAAAACACACAGCCAAGGCAACAAAGGAGTTGCTCAAGAAGAAGCACATTAAGGTCCTGGAGTGGCCTAGCCAGTCTCCAGACCTTAATCCCATAGAAAATCTGTGGAGGGAGCTGAAGGTTCGAGTTGCCAAACGTCAGCCTCAAAACCTTAATGACTTGGAGAAGATCTGCAAAGAGGAGTGGGACAAAATCCCTCCTGAGATGTGTGCAAACCTGGTGGCCAACTACAAGAAACATCTGACATCTGTGATTGCCAACAAGGATTTTGCCACCAAACTAAGTCACGTTTTGCAGAGGGGTCAAATACTTATTTCCCTTATTAAAATGCAAATCAATTTAAAACATTTTTTACATGCGTTTTTCTGGATTTTTTTGTTGTTATTCTGTCTTTCACTGTTCAAAGAAACCTACCATTCAAATTATAGACTGATCATGTCTTTGTCAGTGGGCAAACGTACAAAATCAGCAGGGGATGAAATACTTTTTTCCCTCACTGTATGTTGATTAGATGCTTTTTTCATTAAGTAGGCTATTTTCTCTTTAACCATATGGTCTATCCACTAGAAACTAATGGACAATATGTACACAGATATAACAAATGAATAATATGACATTTGAAATGTCTTTATTCTTTTGGAACTTCTGAGTGTAATGTTTACTGTTAATATTTATTGTTTATTTCACTTTTGTTTACTATCTACTTCACTTGCTTTGGCAATGTTAACATACGTTTCCCATGCCAATAAAGCCCTTAAATTGAATTGAATTGAAATTGAGAGAGAGAGAGAGAGAGAGAGAGAGAGAGAGAGAGAGAGAGAGAGAGAGAGAGAGAGAGAGAGAGAGAGAGAGAGAGAGAGAGAGAGAGAGAGAGAGAGAGAGAGAGAGAGAGAGAGAGAGATCACCTGAAGATCTTGTATCTTGTAGTGTAGCCCTGCTGGTGTCTCTCCACCGACTCAGTGAACTCCAAAGAGTGGTGGAAGGGCCCTTTGTCCGACAGCAGCCAGCCCATGGGCCTAGCGGTACAGCTGTCATCACTGGGTCTGACCGCGGCAGCAGCAACCCCTGTCCCCGTCCAGCAGCAGAACAGGCTCAGAGCGAGCCCCTTCCATAGGAGCAGCACAGACACTCGTCTAAGAGCGATACCCTGGCAGCTCATGCTTCACCCAACGACTCCTCATCCTCTCCGGACTTTGCCTGTGTCCCGGGGTGACAAACCATATGGGGGAATTTGCGAATCAGGGAAAGTTGCTTTTATTGCAAAATGTGATACGCCTACCTACCCCATGAGCAAAATATGTTTAAAAAACGTATTTTTGGTTGAAAAGACGTAACAAATATGTGTTGTTAACCAACATTGCTCATTGGGTAAGTACTATACCGTATATAATAATACTACACTGAGATGTTTTATATATTAAAAGAAAACATAGAAAAGGAGAGCTGTAATTAAAGTCAATATCACAAATGTAATAAATAAGTAGGCTGCATAAATAAACGTTACAATTCCTATGCAAGTTGTTGTGCATTTTCAAGTCATATTAACACGCGCATGCGACATTTTAATACATAGTCAAACATTATGCCTGGGTCCTTACCGGATTTTTTAAATAGTATGAAGACCAATTATGTCTGATGCTTCAGTGAGATCCTGCGGTTGCCCTAATAAAAGTATGTATTTTCATGCTCTTTGGTCATAATATGAAATCAATTCATGAAATTCCCGTGTAAAAAGTGATGCAAGGCTTAAATGTATATATATAAAAAACGTTTATTTTCCTCACAAAAGTTCTTGTTCACAGGAAAATATGCATTATGAAGAGACCCCCCTGTACATTCCGGAGCATAGAAATCCAAACATTATTTGGAAGACTCCTCTGTAGATTGCAGGTGGATCTGACATTTGCCCGGCGCAACAACTTCAGCTCCAAAACAGACGGGAAGAACTCTGGGCGTAAAAATAGCGATCAATAATTCCCAAGTTGAACATGCGTTTATTCAACTTCCTTATTTTAATTGAAGACTTGCTGACTTCATTTGCAACCCCTTAAATTCCTGCTTCGGGTGCACAAGTAGCCTAATCATTCGTTCTCGGAGTTAATTGTCGTCCGCTCAGGCAGTTGCAGCCTCCCAGTTCCAGTATCAGTTGTACGTTTGAATGAGAGATGGGGTGGAATGGAATGGAGGGCGGAAGCAGATGTTTTTTAGTGCAGACATAAGGCACAATGCACGTTGATGTATTTAATTTGGAATTTGATGGTTGTAAGTGCAACTGTTCTAACAACCACTGTTCAACCGTTAATTAAAAAAAAGTGTAACTGCGCGGCAGGTAGCCTAGTGGTTAAGCGCGTTGGGCCAGTCACCGAAAGGTCGTTGGTTCGAATCCCCGAGCCGACTGGAGATACATCTGTCGATGTGCCCTTGAGCAAGTCACTTAATTCCTCCTGTAAATCGCTCTGGATAAGAGTGTCTGCTAAAATGAAGATTGTGATGGGTATAACAACTACACTGTAATTCAGCGAATTCTGTAGGTGTTCAATATCCTGCACATACAGACCAGAAGCTATAAATGTGTCATCGAACCTTTCGTGAATATTTTGAATAGATGGTAAATGATTTCTATAGAAGCAATACATCTAGATCTTTTCAACAGATATTAGTGTAATATACTTGAATATAATTTATGAGAAATGGGCAGGTATTTATTGATATCTTCCAACTAGTATGGTAGGCAGTCTACCAAAACCAAAACAATAACTACTATGACAACAGACTCGGTTGTAGGATCTGATTGGCACCACACTGCATAGTTCAAATGAGTTTTTGCCCAGAACTCCTTTCATTAATAATGCAATTGACATGACATTTCAGTGATGGTGGAGACAGGTGTGGAGCAGATGTATGATTTCGATATTTTCTCATGACATCATCACAGCTAGCTGACGCGCCTGTCGGTCGACACCTCTCACAAGATATAGAAGCTGGAGTGACAGTAGTTGAAAGTGGATCCTCTGGGACTGAGGATTATGGAGGGGTGGGCGGGTGACATGAGCAGGTGATGGATCGCTAATTAGACTGTTTCAACTTAGAGGGAGCAAAATAATGAAAAGCTAAATGCCTGAACATGAGTAGTTTGATGCAAAGATTGTCTGTTGTATTGACAAGATATTCGAGTGACCGCTCTAACAATGGAAAAACATGTCCTTAAAGATGGAAGGCAGGCGGGAGGAGGTGAGATCAGGACTATTCTAGCAAATGATGGGGATGTAGCGCAGTTGGTAGAGCATGGCGTTTATTTTTATTTTATATATATATATTTTTTTAATGTTAATTTGTTTGGGGTGGGGGATGGATCAGCTTAATATTGCATATAGATTGTATCTTCTATCAATGTAATTGTCTGCATCACTTCCAAACCCCCATGTTTTTTATATATATACTCCCCTTTATTACTTTTCAACCCCGCCATCCTTTCCCTACTTGGAGTAAATTAGTGAACAACAATGCCCAGGCCTCTACTTCCGGTCTATACTTACTATCTACACCTTATGGACATAGTTAATTTTACAATAATTCTATTATATATATATATATATATATATATATATATATATATATATTTTTTTTGCTCCTGAACTTCTTCTACTCTCAACCTCTCTGATCAACCTCTCGCCAGGGTTGTGGGTTCATTTCCCACGGGGGGCCAGTGTGAAAAAAAACCACAAAAAAAGAACTATGTATGCACTCACTAACTGTAAGTCGCTCTGGATAAGAGCGTCTGCTAAATGACGAAAACAAATTTTTTAGCAGCAGATACGAAGACATGTCTTTATATCTGTGCCAATTGGCTGATTGCTTCCAACTCTTAGGAGACCCCACCCAGTTGACTGCTTTAAAATGGTGGAAGCCCTCAATAGCATTGTCCATGCTAAAACGGGTAATATCCATGATGAGTCCTCTATCTATCTCTATGATAACAGGCACAACTCCGATATAAAGTAGTTTTTGGGTAAGTTGCTGAAATGCCACGTGCTTCACTTATATCAGTGCATTTGTAACAACCTAACCATTACAAAACTTATATTAGATCAAATAAGCCTCACATAGCAAATTAGCGATTACAGTTTTTGCTGACCAAATTCGACACTGTTGGGAGCTTTAACAGTGTGCGGGCCTTCTTGTTCTATACAAATTTGACACTCTCTCATTGACCTCCATATAAAAATTCTTCACTTCTTGGGGTTATTTTCGTGGACGGAGTAAAACCTCTCGCTTGGCCTCTTCCTCTCTGTTTGATGTCAGGTCAGTAATACCCTTTTATGTTGGTTGCTGTAAGAGCCAGCCCTTTGTTTAGGTACTTGGAAGTTTCTCATTCAAATTTCAACGAGTGATTGACTAAAAGCGTGTTAAATGGTTTGGACAGATAAGAGGACATTAGGGTAGTCTCTATTTCTGTATGCTACTGAATTAGTGGAATGCAGTCATCGATTTCTGTATTTTAAAGTCGTTTGGCCACAGAAAGTGTCAAGGGACTTCGTATTCTCGTTCAAACTCAAATTGAAACAGTCAATTCAATAAGGGGTCATATCCATACACCCTAAATGACTTGAGTCACCACCAACGCTAGATGTGAGGATGGTACTTATCAATGTGAAATGGCTTCTTTTTAGCAATAATGTAGTCCACAATTCATTATGTTGTTTCTGTGAGGAGAATTTGCTCTTCCGGCAACTGATGGTGACTTCTAACAATGTGGAAGTCTGCAATTGCTTGTGCTGCAAATGGAATGCATTTGGTATTCCGTCTGCCCCGTAATTTGTGTGAAGAGAGGAGAGATGAAGAAGGCAAAAATTAGCTTCCCCAGGGCTGAAGACTGTTATAGTCTGCTGAAATCTAGGCCTTTGTTGTCTGTGAACGAGGTAATTGAAAAGTTCCTAAACCCTCTTCCTCTCTCCCCAGTATCTCTTTCCTCCCCACTCTCTCTTCCCCTATTTTAGTCTCTCTGTCTATCTCTAGTCCTCCCTATCTGTTTCTCCCTTTCTCATTATCCCTCCCCCTCTCTGTCTCCTCCTCTTTGTCTCTCTATCTCTAGTCCTCCTGCTGTCCCCCTCCCCCCCCCCCCCTCCCCGTTGCCCACTGAGCTCCAGGATGCAGCTAGCTGATGTTGATTATTTGTGCAGTAATCATCCCCTGGAATTCAGTCTTGGTGGCAGAGTGTGGAGAAGCTCCGAATTGCCAAGGCACAACTCGCCACCCCGAAAGGCTGATGTAACACGCCTCGACATGGCAGTGTGATTGCGCCTGGAACTGAATTCCCCGATTTGCCAACGGGGTGCCCAAGCTAATCACCGGAAAAATAAAAACAAATAACTGTTTTATTTTCCACCTCCAGCCAAAAATAAGGCTTGAGGGGTAGCAGTACCTAGAGCGTCACGGTAATCTGTTTGGAGTGGGCCGTATTGACGATGATGTGAAGACAGTGACAGTTGAGAATACGTCCTGCAATTGCGTGTTTGAGAAAACATGCGGTGCTTGGCATTGTCACCGTCAAGATGCTGTGCAGAATTTCTCAGTTAGCTCAAGAGTCCAAGGATGCCACCAAAGAGCTCTCCTGGTTTTGAGTGATAACACAAGCATATCCCCATCGACTTCAATGTTGTTTTCTTAGCAATTACTGGTCAAGGTCCTGATTGTCCATGAATTAAATGCAGTTGATACACAAATACAGCCAACGCCCCAGCTATGTGGCTTGACTTTGCATTGTTCTGCCACTGAAAGGGTGATGTCAGTTGGCAAGCTGTAGCCCTGAAAGTGAGGTTAAAATGGAGTGGATGACAGGTCTTGACTGTGTACTAACTCCATTTGGCCCCGATACACACAGACAAAAGCAAGTGCCAAAATCTCTCCAGCGATAGGCAAGGCTCTGCGGGTGGATGTTCTCAAATGAAGTAGAAAATGCCTCATGTTTTCAATTAGATTTAATTTCTAGAGTTTTTGGCAGATTCACAATGTGACATACTGCATCTTCCCGTCTCTTAAGAAGTTTGAAGCAGATGTTTTTTTTTTTAAATCAGTTTGCTACTGTATGTTCATTTATTTGCTGTGTTGTCTTGCAGTATTACTTAACAGCCTTGTTGCAAACCGAAAGGATGATTTGGA